CATGGTTATATCTAGTGTTAGATTTACATGCATTTTCAAGTTATTTGGTGTCTGTTTCGTCGATGATATAGCCATATAAGTGGACCGGGGGACCAAGTACCTGGAGCTCGACTGGCTTAAAAGCCAAGCTATCACGAGAGAATCGTCGAGCTAAAGTGAGAGGATGACCTCACTCTCGGACGCCCTATAAAATTGACAGCCTATGGGAGTGAAGACTTTAGGCCATGAAAACGCCCCAAACAACCTCAAGATTTAATATAACTCGATGGGAAAACTAAACTTAACCCACCTAACTATAGGGTTTTTTGCACTTTACCCACTTAATTTTTTTTTTTTTCGTGACAATTTGCCCATATAACTTTGCAAAAAATTGCACTTAACCAATTTCGATCAATGTCGGAAATTTCTAAGGGCAGAATTGACTTCTCAGTCATTCATTAAGTTAATTGTCATTGAAAAATTTACACTTTACCCACCCACCTATACGTTTCTTTACACTTTACTCACTCAACTTTTTTTTATCTACACTTTGCCCTTAGAAATGGCCGGACGATGACCGAAAATTGGTTAAGTGCAATTATTTTGAATGTTATATGGGAAAAGTGTCGGTAAAGAAAGTTGAGTCCGTAAAGTGCAAAAAATCATATAGTTAGGTGGGTTAAATATAGTTTTCCCAAACTCGATTTCCACTATGCAAGGACGACCTTAGGAAAATATGACCTAAAACAGTAGGAAGCAAGTATAAGAAGAAATCTTAAGAGAATAAGATGGAATCTAAAGGTGATTATGAGATGATGTAGTTTGATACTTGTGCACCAAGTATCCAGAGTTGTATGTAAACTAAACAAACAGATAGTAAAGAAGGATCAAATCATTGGGAAGCTGTTTTACTAAAAATGAACCTTCAAGAGAGCGTCGCACTCTCCCTTCAGATCTCTTTCATTAATGTGAATATCTCAAACACAATCGAAGGGTTCACAGAGTGGACTCCCTCTACACTCTACTTGAACAGTGATCCACACAAATACTTATCTGACCACAACTCCCTTATGGGTTTTCTAGTTCGAATCCCTCAAACTATACAGAATGAACCTCCGAATACTCGGCTGTTAATATTCACAGAAATTAACTTCTTCAGAATTCTTTACTTGCTCACAAAATAAAAATACAGTCAAAAGAAACACGGAGCAAAATATCATCCTCAACATCTGTCTCGTCCTCCTATTATCCTCAAGCTTCATTTGGTAAGTCTCCTTCTTTTTGCTTTCCGTCCAAGTAAAGATACCCATAAGGTAAGTCCTTCTTCTTAAAGATGCGATCTCTTCCTCATATTTATGGTAACTGAATCCGAGCTAATTCCTATGGATCTGCCATATCAAAAGATTTATTATAAATCAGTGATGAATAATAATAAATAATCAAACTTCCATTTAAACTAATGCAAACTTCCCTTAAATATTGCCGAGTATTTCAGGATCATGTGACTACTAGAAGGTTCATTGATTTACTGACAATCTTCAGAACTTACAATCTCCCCCTTTGGCGGATAAATCGAAAACCATTTCCTTCAACCTGCATGATGTAAAAACATATCCTGCACCACATATATCAATCCCAAGGATACTTATCTCATCACATAAGTGTTGTTCATAAGAACAACTCAAATACCTGAATAAGAGCAAAATAGTTCACAAGATAGTTCACAAGGAAAGCATAAAGAAATGAGTTCAAACAGCCACACAGAGAAGATAGTTTTTAACGAAAACACATATGAATGTCCAGCAGAGATTTCTACGTAGACTCTTCTTCTTCGGATTCCTCCCCCGAACCTTTTTCAGTACCATCCTCAGACTCTTCTTAGAAGCCTCTTCCTCTTCTTTATTCTCAGCATCAGAGTCTGCTTCTTCCTCATCTTCTTCGTCAGAACCTTCCTCCTCTTCTACAGCCTTCTCCTTTCCCTTTTCCTTCGTAGCAATAACCTTTTCTTTGCCTTTTCCGGTCACATCAGCAACAATCTTTGTCTTCTTTGGCTTCTTCCCATTAGCAGTAGTCTTTTGATTCAGCTTCTCCCCCTTAGTAAGTACCATCTTTTTTTCAACAGCAATAGTGGCCTTCTTTTTCATGTTCCACTTTTTCGATTTAGATACCAAAGGGGCCCGTGTCTTCAAAGCACCTAGCAACTCCTTGTATTTTATCAGCTAACTTCTTTTCAAGTCCAGAGAGGACCGCCACTTGCTGGTTCAAGAACCCGTGAAGTTGAGAAGGCACCTCAGAGGCCTTAACAAAGGAGGGGCGAGGAGGAGCAA